TCCCCTGCCCTCCCTTCAACCCCTCCATCCCTCCCTATCTACAAAGACTTTGTTTCCTTTTTTTCATTTTCTCATATTCCATTTGATTTTTAAATAAATTAAGAAACTTTATTTTTTAGAGAAGTTTTATGATTGCAATCAAATTGAGCAGAAAGTACAGAATTCCCTTATTCCTTTGAACCCATCCAGATAGCCACTATCAGGATCTCACACCAGAGGGTACAGATATTGTCCCTGCTGAACCTGTATTGACATGTTATTATCACTCAGAGTCCATAGCTTCCCTTAGGGCTCCTGCTTAGTGCTGTGTATTCTGTAGATTTGGGTAAATTTACAATGGTGTGTATCCCCTATTGTGGTAATATGTATGGATGTACCATGAATGTGTCCCATAGGATGCAAAAATTGACTTTCTGAGGTATTTAGTCACAGTGATGGAAAGCTAACACATTGTTCTAAAACTCCTCTGTGCTCTCCCTATTTTAATCTTTTTAACCATTTAAAATTGTAAAAATTACTCTTTGCCTGAGGGCCATACAAGACCACCCATAGTTTGCTGACCCAGGATAATGGCTCATGGTGATATTGTGTGGGAGAACAATGTTCCTGATCTATTCAGCATACCTTAGGACAGAGACCAGGAGGATTGCTGTTACCCTGTGACTATATATTCCTGTCTGTTCCTTGTAAATGTGAACTCGTTTTCTTTCTAGTTGAGGTGGAAAAGAAAGCGTTTGGCCCAGTCACTGGCCACATTCCCTGGGCTGAGGCAGTACTACTTGGCTCTAGCAGGTGTTAGACTTGCATGGCAGCTGTGGTCAGGATTGCTACTTGGTTGAGCTTGCAACAACTGACGATAGTCATGTTCAGGAGCTCATCCAGCGTCTTCAAGTGCCAGGCCTTTGAACTACATGGAGATTTGATGGGAGCCCCCTCTGTGGGATCCACTCCTCCATCCCCCAGCTGTGATGTGGCTTTTATTTACTCAGGTGCAGTTTCAAAGAGAGGCATCCATTTGACCTTCCCGGCTATGACAGCTCTTACCCCCAGGCCGGGGCCTCATGTGGAGGTTCTCTAACTTCTCTACAGTCAACCCCAATTTGAATTTTGGTGACCAGAAAAATGACCACTGGTGGAGTCCACAGACCTTGGAATCCTCTATAAGCAGGGATTAAGCCACTATGGGGCTTCATTCTAATTGGGTCAAAGCGTGATGCTGGTTTGGTCTCTAGGTATCACTGGTGACTCAGACCCTGTTCTAATATCCCTAAGAATGTATAAATATCATTTTCCTCATCAACAGTCCAGTAGACGACCATAGGCCCCTTCTTAGGGAAGGACTTGGGCCATTGTGTGCCAAGTCCTTCCTCCTGGCGACTCTGTGGGTTCTTTAGTTAATAGATTCTGCGTGTGAAACCTGGCATGGGTTCAGGAATTAGGCAAGGGATGATGAGTTTTTATTGGCATGACCACGCTCAGCCTAGTTTTCCATTGCTGCTTTCTTTGGGTAACAGACACAAGCTGTTCAAGGATGCAGTTGCCCTGTGCAGAGTTGGCTGCTCTTCTCTTTTGCCCCAGATTACACCATAACTAAGCCTCTCCGAATCTCGCTGTGAGTCAAGTCCTTGGCTGCCACACTGCCCTTGGGAGTTGTGCTGGGGATTCGATGAGGAACAAGATAAACACTATCTAGTTACTCAGGAAGCTTTTATCCTAATTGAGGGGATAAAGCAAAGCTCAACAAAACACACAAGCAAGCAACAGTATAATAGCAAACTTTGATAACTGTCCTAAAGGACACAAGCCAGAAACAAATGGAGAATGATGGCTGTGGGACCTGAAGGCCAGTGGCTCAAGGGCGGCCTGAAGAAGGAGCCTTTTTGTAGAGCTGACTGAGCATAGGTGATACTGAGGAACTTGCTGGCCATGATAATGGTGTGGTGGTTATGTTTCCTGGCTTATTCACCTTGTTAATTATAGGACGAGGGATTGAATGTACTGGGGTGAAGCTTTCTCATATGCTGTTAAAAATCAACAGTAACCACAGCAATTGTTTCAAACTTAGATCAACAGAAGATTTTTTTTCAGAAAGAAGCATTTTATCACTGACGTTGTTATGAATTGCTGGTGCATGGTGATCATAAAAGGCAGATTGAATTTTAGTCAAGTTATGCAGAGACAGTGCATTCCTTGATTGTCATTTCCGCTGTTGTAGCTACCTGGGCTTTGCTGTGTCACTGAGGTATAGTTTTAAGGAGAAAGCTGTTAACAGAATCAAATATCATATAAAGATAGGAATAATGTGCTAAAGCTCTTGAAACTCCCAATCTCTGGTGTCTCAGTTGAAGTTTCAAATTCCTGGGAGATGTCATTTCTGGGTAAAGGTGGCAGATGGCATACG